GTTGTCACATTGATATTAGATTAATAAAACAATTCAGCTTGGCTAGAATTCTTTAAACTAACATACAAATTCAGCCACTGAAACACTGTAATGGGCATTAAAACTAGAAGAGATTACACAAATGTAAGAAAGTTGTGCTTATAACAAGTAAAGAAAAAGTTATTTAAGATTCTTATAAATAAGTATTTTGGTCACTTATTGAGCTCAATTTAGGAATTTGTACTTTAATCTGACACAGACACAATTTCTTCAACCATCACAATAAAAATAAGTGACTTTGTCTTAAATTAAAGCTGCATAAAAAAATAAGACTAATTTTCCAGAAACAAAACTTTTTGACTTTGGTGTCAAATTGAACACATTTTTGATTTAATGTCTAAAGATTTGGGAATAATCCTAATTCCTCCTTTAGATATGTCTTTTGTTTGTTTTATAATGTGTCACAATAATGTTCAGTTGGGGACTTTTCCAGGCAAATATTAATAAATATGATTGATATGATATGATTTGTGATTAAATCAGCGTATAAGTGCTGCAGGTGTTATTAGATACACAGCATTAGTTTGCCACTGATGGTTCAATAATGCTTCATATGAAATATTTATTAAGTAATTAGACGTGATGTTGTTGTTACGGTAACGCTGGGTTCAGCAGTTTGTTCTTGAGTTTCTGGTTGCTTAACATAATGTTTGGACGAGCAGCGCAGTGCGAATGTTTTATGACGTTAAGATTGATCGGTGTTGCTGTAATGTTTGTGTCAGCAGCCTTTTGATTTTCCATTATTGCTGCTGCCACGGTGGCGACTGTGTATGACCGGCCACTGTCTCATTGTGCAGTCTCACAGTGATTGCTCGTCAACAACCGGTTGTTGATTTCATAATGCAAATTCTGCTGCAGGTGAATGCTTCAAAGGTCAACTCCTGAGCTCAGACTCTTATTCAGTGCTGCTTTTGTATTTTACTGTATTAAAAACTAATATAAGTCTTAACATAAGGATATAATGAGGATATGACATGAGGTCAGAGCTGCTCTTTACACAAATAAAAATAATTATAGTGTATATATGCGCACAAATAAAGTAACAGCAGGTAATAGTTGGAGTAATAATATATAAAAGGGAGGTTAGAAGCAGAAATGATTCATGAATTAAAGTGCAGGGCGTTGATATGTACATAATTAAAGTAATAATAACAAGCAGTGGGATTAAATTATTATTTAATTTATAAAAATAAAAAGCAGTTTTTACCAGAAACTGTAAATCTACCACAGAACCTCTCATATCATTAAGCTTTCACTGCAATAAGAAAACAGTGAGTCTGTGTACATTTTTATTACCATAGTATTTATTTCAGAAACTATAAATAGGTTAAAGACTTAAAGAGTTGTTCCTGTAATATTTTCATTATTAAAAGAAGTCTTGAGTTAATTTACAGATATTATAAAAGTATACTGTATTTATTATTATTATTATTAGTTGGGAATTCTTCATTAGTAATAATCCCTTGAGATATAAATGGATCATTAAATCATAGTTTAGAGAGATAGTATTATTTACATGTGATCATAAAGGTGTTATTATTAACAGGTACAATTGATCCTAACATAAGAGGACATTATGAAACAGGTGATATAGAACGAATATGTACAGATTATTCCAGTCGGAGCTTTAAACATGAAGGATTTCTTCTACTGCAGGAACAGATAAAAACAGCCGTGTAGAAACATTAAAGACAACCTGCAGCTGAAGACACACTGTAAATAAAATAATACAAATAATCACTGATTAATGATAATGTACAAAGATACAGTAACTGTCCGCCTCCACTCATATATATATATATCTGGTTCTTTAAAGGACAATACCGCCATTTTAGGTCCAGACTGTCCTTGTGTAACCCTTATATAAGTGGACAGTGTGTTTCCACGTGTCCTTAATGAGTTATGTTACCAGCTCCCACCCGGCGCTGTGTAGTAAGGTGATAATAAATACAGGCAGGTTGGCGCTCATGAGTCAGAGTGAGCCGGGCTGCCGCAGCAGCAGCTGGGATGGGTCACCGCAGTGGGCTCCAGACCCCAGGGTTGTCGGTTTGAATCCCCAGATAGCGTCTGCACAGCGGCAACCTTTACTGTGACTCAGCATGACGCTCCTCTGTGACTCAGAGCTTTGTTCAACCAGAGGTTTGTTCACGCTGCGGTGTTCGTGATTCTGTTAATGTCACCCTCCTCTTCCTGCATCATACCTCCTCCACTCGCTCCAACCGCCGAGTTTCATGCTCCAGCAGAACCACACAACTTCTGTTCCTGGGGTTCGCAGCTGTGACGGGAACGTTACCATGCTTCGCTCTCTGTGCCGCACTTTAATTGTTGCTCATTGAAGGTTCAAGGTTACTTTATTTGTACAAAAATATAAAAACAACAAACAGCTCAGACAACATTGATAAAGGATAAAGATAAAGGCTCTAAACGTCAGGACTTACAAAGAGAGATCAATAAAAAAACACTGGACTAGATAAAAAGAAAAACGAGACGTCATTTACGAGGTTTACTGCTCTGCTTTTTATTAGTTCACACAGTTACACTAGGCGAAGTCTGTTTCACTCAAATCGACACATTAAATCACGATGATCTCCTCTAATATAAATATATATATATATATATATAATACATGATGGTTTTTGGAGCTTAGTGGTTAAATAAACACACAATCCTCCACCAAAGATAACAAAGACTCTAATAGAGCGGGTTTCCACCGATCAGAAGGATGGCGGTTCGATCTCCGGCTCCCAGCAGCGTGTCCAGACTATGACAGAAGTATGAGTCTCTGCTTTCCACTCATTCTCAAACGAACCAACTCTAATACAGTTTATTGGGCCCAGTCTGCAGAAATATCCAAATACACTCGTCAAACTGCATGTTTTTTTGCCCAAAACTGAATGGGATTATAGCATACAGGAGGGACTCATGTTATCTTGAGGTCGGAGGTCGTTGCATCGCTGAAATTAATCATTAGTGGAGGAGGAAAGGGGACAAAATCGTATAGGTGCTCTCTTCATTCTGTAATAACCAGCCTGGTTGTGTTTTGTAATTAATTATTGGTGATTATTACAAAATAAACAAACAAATCAACAACAATTTATACCAAATCTGAACTCGACAATGTCAGAATCGGTGTGTCTCAGGAGGAAGTGCTGGTCGTTCACTAATCAGAAGGATGGCGGTTCGATCCCTGGCTCCTCCCGCTGTGTCCTTGAGTAAGATACTGAACCCCACATTGCTCCTGATGCCGTCAGTGTGTGAATGAGTGAGTTTCTGATGATCACTTTATGCTCTTGCACCGGTATATATGTCACACCTGCTCCCAGTGTATGAACCCCCCCTCTGATCCTCCAGCATGAGTCCATGAGTCTTTACAAAGTGCAGGACGGAAACCTTCTGGTGAGGCAGCCGTTGGCTTTAATGCTCTGAGCCGCTGGGACAGTGCTGGAGGAGCCTGGCTTTTAACAGAGAATGGTTTTTAGACATTATTGACCTTATTTTATTTAGTTATTTTATCGTATTTCCTTGTAAATTTCTTTATTATTAATAATATTTTTCAAAGAGTCAAGGAAATTTATTCATGTTTATAATAATGACAAAGGGCTTTACATTCACATAAAAGAATATCAGAAATAAAATAAGATTAAACCAATATATGAAATCAGAATACAACCAAAAACACACCAATAATTAGAGACAGTATTAAAAAGAGATTAAAAAACATAACACACAGGAACAAACAAAAAAATTATACAACACAAGTTTGTATAATGAAATCGAATGAAAAAAGATCTATCTGATCTATTTTTTTGTAACAAACACTATTAATAAACCTGTAAAATGAATTTTAGTGGCATTTTTTTTCTTTTGTAGTTTTTATTCCACTAAACTGTATGAAAGGTGTTCTACAAATAAAGTTTGATTGATTGATTGGTGGAAGCCTCTACCATCAATATGGGTGAATGTGAGCAGAAAGGTGTTATTTAATAACTTTCAGGCAACCTCCGACCCTTGACCTCCCTCCTGTTGGCGCCTGTTGTCTGTCGCTGTGAGCAGCAGCAGCAGCAGCAGCAGCAGCAGCAGCAGCAGCAGCAGCAGCCCCCCTCCACTGGCCAGGACTGCTGTGTATCAGTGGATCAGATGTGACTATGTGGGCGGCGATGAATGTGATAGGATATGAATGTGGAATATCAATTATGATGAACGCCGTCCCCGTGTTATCTGTTCCGTCTCCGCGGTGACACGTGTGGGCGGGTCCCGGTCGTACGGCGGTAACGAGCCTTCGGTCGTAAACACTGACAAGGAGATGGAGCCGGTGTTTGTGTCAGCAGTAGATGGATGGACGGACACACAGATGCTGTTTGTGAAGCTGATGATTGAAAGCTTTCTGAATGTTCCTACTGTACACCCACTGTCTCTGCAGACCTGTGGATGTGTTACATCTTCCAAATCACAGATTCAAGACAAACAGTAGTTGTAGTTACATAACCACCCACCTCCTGATTACTTGAGGACTGATTGGCGTCTTCAGAATCCTCTTATCCTCCACTGCTCTTCAATTCCCAAATATTAATACTATAACAACCGTGGACAGTTTCACAACACATTCTCATGTACAGTCGCATTATGTGAGGCCGAGTTCACCAACAAAGACAGTGAGGATATAGAATTATAATGGTTTATTGATAAAGGGGGCATCTCTCACTTCTAGGACGATCTGATACGTATGTAGATACATGAGCTATGATACGATTCAGGGACGATCCATTTTAATATAAAACAATACGATGCAATCTGATAAAGTTCGTGGGAGAAATCATAGTCGTGGCTGGATGGAGGAGTTTGGAGATGGACTGTGTCGGTGAGACGATGGGAGGGAACCATGTGTGAGGTTGAGCCGCCTCTTCTTCGCTCTAGAGCCCGAACTTCGCTCTAAAACTTCATTGTGTGTGTGTGTGTTGCAGAAAGTGCCCAGATGGGTTTGACTGTCTGAAGGCGGGAAGGAACCCCAACTACGGATACACCAGCTTCGACACCTTCGGGTGGGCCTTTCTGTCGTTGTTCCGCCTGATGACACAAGACTACTGGGAAAATCTCTACCACCAGGTAACGTTGATTCAAGGGTTCGGTCTCAGAAATATATCAAAATAAATAAATTGCTGTATTATATCAGTCAATGGCTGTCACAGGATGAACTCTTTTCTTTTGCCGTGTGTGCCCCTGCAGACGCTGCGTTCGGCCGGTAAGACCTACATGGTGTTCTTTGTCGTGGTGATCTTCCTGGGCTCCTTCTACCTGGTCAACCTCATCCTCGCCGTCGTCGCCATGGCGTACGAGGAGCAGAACCAGGCGACCATCGCCGAGGCCTGCCAAAAAGAGAAAGAGTTCCAGGTGGCCATGGAGAGACTGAAGAAGGAGCAACAGGTAAGCTGACTTCCTGTCTGCCACTGGATGTGAGGATGTTTTGAAATGCAATAGTCAACACGTGCGTCGGAGAATAGGATATAAAAAGTAGGCGATTTGAGGCGGGGATGGCGTACCGAGGTCAATAACTGACCACGACTTCTAACCGATAAATTATTAAGAATTATAAAATGTTGACGTAACGTTTCAGTAGTCTTTACGCACTGGTTCCACACTGGTTTGTTTAATTTGCATTATGATCATTTATCGTCAGAACTGGAGTTAATGAAAAATAAGAATATGGGAAACAAGCTACACTTTTATTATTTTAAGTTTTCTAAAATCAATCATTTTATTTCTCTAAAGCTCTGTTTGGTATTTTATATTTTAATGGAGACATTATTGTACTCAGAAATGAGAAGAGAACATTATTTAATCGTTATATTTGTATATTTTTTTGTATTTTAATACGTTGTGATTTTGTTCGGCTGCTAACTCGACCAGGTCTCTCTTGTAAAAGAGATTTTTTATCTCAATTTTACTTTCACTGTAAAATAAACTAATTCCTCCAGTTCAGTGTGAAAACTGACAACAGCTATTGCTGGAACATTATTGAATTTTATTTTCCAGATGTTGATAAAACTACTGAACTACTTCAGTATAATGACACTGAATCAAAACGTGGCATCAGACATTACAACTGAGACCTTTTCTCTCGGTCTGTAATACAGTTTACATCATTTTATATTTATTTACGCGCAATGTTTGAACTTCAAACTTCCACCAGGTCGCCACACAGAAAACTGTCGACTCAGACTCGTTGATGTCACCCGAACTGTCGCCGTTTGGCCTGCCGTTGGACAGCATGGAGGAGCGGAGGCGGAGTCAAGCGCTGGTGGGAGTGGGCGATGTGGAGGCGAACCTATCAGAGGAAAAGCTGCTGCAGGTGGACATGACGGACGGGGGGAAGGTACGTGAGGGAGAACCCGTCCTGCTTTGTATGGTACGACATCAGTAACGCAGTCAATGTGATGTTTCTTTACGTTCTCATCCAGCCTCTGCACCCCCTACTCGCTCGCTCCTTCTCCACGAGGACACGGCGAAGCAGTCAGGTCTCCTCCATCTTCAACTTCCGTCTGAGGAGCCGAGGGTCGGAGGGCGAGATGGCTGACGACGAGTACAGTGTCCCAGGTGACGTGGTGGAGGGCGTCGGGGGTCGAACCTACAGCGGGGGGACCTTCAGCGGGATCCTGCCCCACGCGTGGCCCAAGCGACGACCGAGCACCTACAGCACTGCCAGCAGGAGCTCTCAGGTGAGTGAGCAGAACGAGATCAGACTGTGCAATCGGAAACTTCGCCTCAATGTGCCACTAAATCAGTGGGTCCAAACCTTTTTACTTAAGAGAGTAAACTGACTTTTGTATATCTAACAAATACAGAACAGCTGATAAACCGCTCAATGAACCCAAACAGTGAACACAAAAACTGCAGGAAGATTGTGGAAAACCAGACATTTGGATGAATTTGAGCTTTTATTATTTTAACTTTAATATCGATAATTTTAAGTTACACAAATTCAATTTTGTAAGTTAAAAATACTTTTGATTAAGTACTTTTTACTGTCACTTAAAATAAATAAGATAAATAAAGTTAGTTGATTAAGAATGTTTTTTTAACTTACAAAACTAAGTTAGTTTAACTTAATTATAACAAATAAGTTTCAACAATTTTTTTTAGTTAACTGGTTTTAAAATAAACAGTTTTATTTAGTTTTCTTCACAGAAATGAATGAAATGCTGAAATAAAGACCGACTGTGTATATATTTTACGTTTAGATCCAACACGCTGGTCCTTTAAATTTAACTAAAGAGTAAAATAATAAAATCTAAGATGCCAAATAATAATTTGTGTTCACAAAAGGCCTCTGTACACATTGTTTCATCCCTCTGTGTGTGTGTGTGTGTGTGTGTGTGTGTGTGTTTCCAGGTATTCTATCCAACTCTCAACGTCAACGGGAAGCTGTTTGTTGCCATGGACCAGAACGGGGTTTCCCCGCCACCGCTGCAGGGGCAGCTGCCTGCCTGTACCATGGAGAAGGTCAAGGAGGAGAGTGTGAGTACTGTGTCGCAGTGGAAACAATGGTGGAGCCTGCAGCCATCCAACACTCAGATATGTGAATTATGAATCAGCGCTTTGCATAACTTCACTCTGATATCATGAGCTAAACACACACACACACACACACACACACACACACACACACACATCTACCATCTCAGATAACGAAGCTGTGGTATTCCCCCCGTCTGTAGGCACACACACCACATACCCAGCACACATAGTGTCACTGCTATGGCATCATGGGCTGAAGCCACACATACCGGCACAGTCACGTTACTGAGGTGTCCTTCCTTTATGCACATACCGAAACACACACACACACACACACACACACACACACACACACACACCGGCAATGCTCGGGAACAGCCTAGTGTGAACCCATCGTGGCCTCACCCATTGGTTTGTGGAGAAACGTTTTGAAGCCTCGAGTTTGGTGTTTGTTGGAGCCGGCGGAGGTCACGTAAAGCGAGTTGAGCTGCTCTTGGTTGGGAAACAATGGCGGCTTCCAAATAAACAGTAAAATCAGTCTGTGAACAGATTTGAGGAGAGAAATAGTCAACGCAGTAACCGAATCTGGATCCATATCTTTGTCTCCACAATCTTGTGTTCTTCCTCCGTATCTACATTTACGTACCAGTCGAACAACAAGATGATATAAACTAATATCTCCGGCATTATTACGTTACCCAAAGTCACCACCGCAAGTCAAATCCAATTCCACCAATGGCTCCACGCTTTGAGTCCCTATTGATCATTTACAAGAACCAATAGTGGGTATCAATACCAGTAGATCAATCTGACACCTCACACACGGCTCAGAGTTATCGATATCAGGTGAACAGGCGGACACTTTGACTCAAAAACACTCTCACACACTCAGCGTTACGTCCTTTTAGAAACAAGCAGCAGAGATGATAATCAGATCACACTCACACTGACACTGTTTGTGTGTGTGTGTGTGTGTGTGTGTTTCCTCTCAGGGGTTCGTGGTGTTTCACAGTAATACGCTCTGACACAGGAACACACACTCTCGTCAGTAGCCTCGAGGGCCGGATATTCTGGCACATGCGGTTCTGTTAATCCTACATTAGGCGTCCTCACCTGTAGCGACGGCACCGGATTACACGGGGACAGAGACCGACACAGCCTCGTGGAAATTACATGAATTATCAGGACATTCAGGGAGCTTTATGGTTGCTACAGGAAACATATTAGTTAAAGCTCCAGTGTGTAACATTGAGGAGGATCATTAGTGTTTAAAGAATGTTTTTATCGCCTTCAGTGGAGTCCGCCATGTTTCTACGGACAAACCAAACACTGGCTCTAGATTGGGGATGTTTGCATGCAGCCTCCAGAGTTTCTCCCACACTCTCCACAGCTTGCTCTCATTCCCAGGTCGGCAGATATGATGCGAGCGGTGTTCAGTTAGTTACAACCTGCAGCTTACCTTAAGTTATCAGTACTTCTTCCACTACTAGTGTCATATAAAACTAGATGAGCTAATGGAGTCGTTCCCAACCTTCTTCAAGCCCTTTTTCTATCAGTGAGTAAACTAAGTGACATATTTTAATTTGTATATTAAATGCAGAACAATAACAGCAGAGAACAGCTGATACACTGCACAATGAATCCAAACAGAGAACACAATAACTGCAGGAAGTGTGTGTGAAACCAGAGACTTGGATTAAATTATTTAGCATATTGTGTCAGAAATGAGTTTTAATTAATTAATTTAGGAGCTTTTTATAAAATGATCTGTCTGTATTATATATTTTTACAGTCTCCCGGACTTTAACGCAGGACGAGGCTGTTTATCAGACAGTGAAGGGCATGTGTGAATATATATTGTGTTCAGGTCTTTGGTCATTTGCAGACACGTTAATCTTGTGCAGTTATTTTGCTTTTGGTATAAATATGTCGAATATTTCTGCATGCTGGGGTCCATAAACTGTGTTAGACTTCCATGAATTAGGAATAACTGGCAAGCTGAGATGCATATTTCAGTCAAAAAAGTCTGGAAACGCCCCTTTAACCTTTAAAGTGGACATGAAACAGCTTAATTTTGGTGATTTTTTTGTACAGAATTAAGGGTGTTGAAATGTCCGTAATTTAATATGTTGTGTTGTTTACATCTGTTTTATAATATAAGAATTATTAAGACATATAAATGTATAATTAAATTGAATACAACATGTAGGAACACAGCTGCTCTTCCACTAGATGAATGAGAGCTAACATGCTATCACGTGAAAACGAGCTGTGGGAGAGAAAGATAAAGCACTAGCCCATCTTAGTGGCGCTGTAGCAACGGCCAGTTTAGCTTTTAACTGTAGTGGAATTCATGTTATTTGTTTAAGTTGCTTTAAAATGAATCTTTTATTACTTTTCTGTTACAGAGTAGAAACTTTAAAACAGTCCCAGCAGACTACATCATTCACGAGGGAGAAATAAGTCTGAAAATTACTTATTTTTGCAAGAACAAACATTTTGTAGACAATCAGGCAAAGTATGATTCAGAAGAGTGTATAACTGATTGGCTGTATTGTCCCCAATCAGGTCACTGTAGAGGGGTTATTGATCAGCAGGAAAGCACTGCGACCATTGGACGGAGTCACATTTAAAAAGCAGGAGTCAAAAGTTGAACATGAAATGGATTTAAACACATTTATTATTGAGTTGTAGTTGTTGTCTGAGCACTGTCTGATTGTACCTACAGGAAAATATCTATATAATATAATATATTTCATATTATATTAAAAACTGTACAATGAACCCAAATAATGAGTTAGTCAGTAACTGCAGGAAGTTTGTGTAAAACAAATTTTAAGCAGATTATTTCCTGTTTTTATGCAATTATCTGTCTGTATTATGTATTTTTTAAAATATTTTTTAACACTCATACAGACTTAATAAGCTTTTTTTTGTGACAAATTCAGTGTTTTCTTCTCCCTGACAATCGGCTATTGTTCTATTAGACAATTTACTTTACCCTTAGGACCTTTAAACCTTTAAATCATTAAATAAGTTTTTACTTTTCATTATTTGTGGTTGGAGTTGCTCTGTCTTCCAGGTAGATTTCTGATTTCAAACATACATTGCTGGTTTCAGTTTCAAACTTACAGACGAACCTTGTAAAGGAACCTGTAGCTGAGAGCCAGACGGCTCCGTGTCACCGGGGATTTCATTTATTTTAATACTCTTTTACAGTCGTCTCTTCCCCCGTCAGACGGTAGGTCAGAGTAGCACGAGGACAAACACAGCAGCTCCACGCCTGGAGGTGTTCAGTCGCCTCCACCTGACAACCTGCCCCCATACCTACACCATTATATAAGGAGGAGAAGAAGTTAAATAGTAGAAAAAGTAGAGGAAGAAGTAGTTAAAAACATAACTAGTCGAAAAAACAGGTTCAGAGTTTGGACGTTATTAGAGATCTGCAATTTAAATGAATTAAATAACAATAATAACATATAATTTATGATTAGTTATATATCGCCTTTTAAAAGCAAGTTTACAAAGTTCTTTGACAGACAAAGAAAAATATAGTTGTGATACATAAAATATAATTAAATATACAAATGATGAATCCCAAAAATGCAATAATAGGAGCAGAATAGAAGCCATGAAAATAATAAAATAACATAAATTAAATAAAACAATAAAAAATAATAACAATTAAATAAAAAAATAATAACAATTAAATAAAACAATAAAAAATAATAACAATTAAATAAAACAATAATGTAATAAAAAAAACTTAAAGCTATAAAAAATGAATAATAAATAATACAATTAAATAAAAATAATACAATTGAATAAAAAATTTAAATAATAAAATCAAATAAAATACTAAAACATTTAAATTAAAGAAATAAAATAAAATCCCTGCTGCAGGACAAAAGATAAAGATAAATGAATAAAAATCTCCTGCACAGGTGTTGATAAGTTGCTCCGTGCCGATGTGCCGACTACCGACCGCCTGCAGGGGTTGTGTGGGAGCTCAGAGCAGCTCTGAGTTCAGTTTATAGTTTCATGTTTTGACATGAAGTATTTCTGCTTCCTCGTGTCCATGAAGACCCGTCGTCCTGCTGCTCAGACTGATGGAGACACGAGTGGGAGGAGGGAGGGAGGCAGGCAAGGAGGGAGAGCACGCGCTTAGTTGCCACGGAAACGTTACCACGGCAACCCACAGCAGCTAACTGATGCTGAATTTGTGCACGGTCGGCTGCTGTTAGTGTGTGTGTGTGTGTGTGTGTGTGTGTTTCCCCGGTGCTTCCCTGCCTGGCACACAGACAGGATGTAGGCGTTGTCGTGGGCGGTGACCTTCAGGCCCGTGCGTCACGTCTCATTGGAGGAACAGTTACCAGGAAGTGTTATGTAATCACACCTGAGCAAATTAGGTTCAACCAGGTTCGTCTCTGTGAGGGCTGACAGGGTCCTGAACTCCCCCGGGCCTCTGCTGGGTTCATACATCAGTGCTGAGCTGCTGAGCGCCGTTCAAACCTGCAGAACTTTATTTAAACTGGAGAGACGGTAACAAAAGAGACACGTGATCTTCATCAGCAAAAGTTATTATGGAACTTCTTTTTAGCATGAAACATCAGCAAGAAATCTTTAATGTAGTTGAGTTGTGTTCTTACATTATACCACAATAACAACAATATCCCCTTTGAGCCTGCGTCAGCGTTGTGGTTGTCTGCCAGAAGCTGTCATACATTGACTGTTGATCCAGTCTGAAGCCACATTGTTACCATCCACTGTTTAGATCTTGGTGCTTTTTAACTCTAGATTTGAACCGGATGAAGGATTTTAGTCATCGGACGTCTGGATCTTAAGATATCAGAGAAACAAGCTGAGCTAACGTTAGCAGCAGCTCGGCTCGCAGCCCCTCCGGGACGTCCTTTGTCTGTCCAACAGCGTGGGAGAAGCAGTGATTGTTAAGGTGGAACTGCTTTATTCAGTGTGTTTAGTGGTTTTAATCAGCGGGTCTGTTTGTGTTGGAGAGGAGGAGACCTCTGTGGATCATTGGGCTCCCGGTAGAAACCTCCTGAACCATGAACACTGAAGGAATCCTAACCGGGAGAAGCTGACTGCAATGACGCCAATGGTGGTGAAGACAACAACTCCCATGATCCCACGCCTCCTTAGTGGTAGAAATCACATGACCATTTGCTGATAAAGATCATGTGATAATAATTGAAAGACCAGAAAAGATACTAAAGACAGCAGACAACAGTTTGAGCTGAAGTAATATCCAGCCACACACACACACACACACACACTGATTTCTCTGATTCATTGAACACCAGTCATCACCTGCTTGTCTGTTGCCGTGGTGATAAGACTCTCACACACACACACACACACACAAAGAAACCACGGCAATATGTTTGACCCATTTGACCTGAAATAAATCTGTGTGTGAGACACTATCGCCACGGTAACAGATAAGTGGAATCACATCTCAGTCCATGAATGAACCTCGAATGTGTGTGTTTGTGTCTGTTACAGCTTGACCGTCGCCACGGATACGTGTGCACCTGAACACTGTAAAACCTGACCAGTTAGTTCAAACAGTTAAAGCATTAAAGATGTTTCGAGTCAATAACTCCAGTATTTATTGTTAAGGTAACTCGGATAAATTAAGTTAATTAAGCTCTTGAGTTGGGTTTGGTGATTATCTGGAGGGTTAAATTAGAAGAAGAAGACTTTATTAATTATTAACGTGTTGTCAGGATGTTATGAGGGACTGTTAGCACACTCTGGGGTAATCACGTAGATAATAAATAACCCCTGTTTCTCTCACTCAGGTCCCCACGTCCACCACGGAGCTCAGTACGATGCTGTTACCCCGACCTTCGTCCACACAGGGCTCGGAGCGGAGGGGGAGGGCGCTCAGTGCTGCCAGCTACCTCACTGACGCCATGGAAGGTGAGAGGAAACGGCGACACAGCGACAGCTACTGTACCATGACCACAGGAACTTACATTTCATAAACCAGGATCAATTCAGTGTACTTTTACAGGTTAATAAAAGTGCAACGACATTATGAATTTAAAAAGAAGTGACACAAGAAATAAGATTTATAAAGTAATTAAAAACAAATAACAGCAAAAATGAAGTAGATCGACGTAGATTAACTAGCTAGTTTGCTAACATTGGATGTGACTGTATATATGTTGCTTTTATCTCCAAAATGTGGTTGTAATTTCAACATAGATGAGACAGGTAACATATGTAAGCACAGGAAGAACAGGAAAGGAGACGAAGAAGGGAACAAACTGCTATAGTGATCGTAATTTTATTGTTTTAAATCCCGCCAACGTTGCCGGTTTTCTCACCTAATTCCACGTCCGGCTTTCATCCACTAACCTCACATCCGGTTTGCCGTCTGCTGGAAACCATCAGAGCGACCTGTATGATGGTCAGTTTTCAGATGCTGCCACACACTGATATTAGTGAGTTAATGCTGTGATATGAAGTGAAAGAGGAGCTGTGTGTCGGCTCTTATTCCCCATTTATGAGTGTTTGTGACAACATTTCTCTGCAACCTTGTCTGACTTTTTACCTCAGCGTGTGTGTGTGCTGTCTCTGTATGTGTTTCACTTGTGTGTGTGATTGTGTAACCATGTATTTGTCTGAATTTTGCATCCAAGTGAGTCTGTTAACGCTTCTGTGTGTGTGTGTGTGTGTGTGTGTGTGTGTTTGTGTGTCGATACAGGATTGTGTAACCATGTCTGAGTTTGTATCTAAGTGTGTGTGTGCTGCCCCAGCCAACCCCAGGGGAACACTGGCTTTTGTTTGTGCCAGAGAGTCGGAAAAAGGGAGAGAGACATACAGACAGAGTGAAAGAAAGAGAGAGAGAGAAAGAGAGTGTGTGTGTGTGTGTTACCCTCATTAACCATGAGATCAGTCCAAGTTCCCGCGTGTGTATGTTCATATGTGTGTGTGTGTGTGTGTGTGTGTTTGATGATATTCATGTATTTTGGGTTCATATCTGTTCAAATCTGCATTCATGTGTGTTGTAAGTGTGTGTGTGTGTGTGTGTGTGTGTGTGTGTGTGTGTGTGTGTGTGTGTGTGTGGTGGGATAGGTCTGCTGAGTCACTGTCTCTCCCCTCGGCAGTCGCTGCTCTTAGAGCAGATCATTATACAGGAAAATACAAAAACCCACTGCTGTCCTCCCTCCATCCATCTGTACACCCTTCATTCCCTCCTTCATCCCCCTTTTTTTATTATTATTTTCTTTATTATTTACTGTATAGTTTTTATTTCTCATCATCTCATTCGCCTTTGCTGATCTTAATGAGCTCTGTGTTCTTGGCTACCGGACAGTAAATCCACTTAAGGTCTTTAACTCCCAGTTTTATCATCAAGTTAACAAAATCTGTGATGTCCTTGCCAGAAGTGTGGCCTCGGGTCACGTGACTTGGACTCGAGTCACGAATCTAATGACTTCAAATTTAAAAAAAAGGCAACTCGACTTTGACTTTAACACCAGTGACTTAAAGCTTCACTTGCACTTGATATCAGCCCGAAATGATGTAATAATTACTCTTTATATTCCTGCAACGGGATGCACCAGGAACAATGGATGGAAATAAGGACAGGAAGTTGTTATTTTATCAGTTATTAATATTAAACTGTAAAAAAAGAAATGTAAAAAAAGGGCTGTGGGGGAAATAAAATAACTGACTCGTAAAAATACAATAATTTTCTTTTAGTTTTCAGCTTTAACCTCACATAAAATATTTGGCTTGTTAATGTTTACACTGTTAAAACAATGAAATACAGGCGAACACGGGGTCGTCACACTTTCACCTACCCTCCATCCTCCTAATTATTAACTTTTATTATCTGCACTCAATTCACTTCTCTCCTCTTGTTTTGTTTTGGTTTTTTTGGCCCGGGTCATGCAGAACTGGAGGAGGCCCATAAGAAATGTCACCCGTGCTGGTACGTCCTTGCCCACCGTTACCTGGTATGGGAATGCTGCCCCTGGTGGCTGAGGGTGAAACAGCTGGTGAATATCATGGTGATGGACCCCTTCCTGGACCTGGCCATCACCATCTGCATCGTCCTCAACACCCTCTTCATGGCTATGGAGCACTACCCCATGACCGACGAGTTCAATGGCATGCTGAGCATCGGAAACCTGGTAGGACAGAGGGATGGGTGGATGGATGGATGGATGGATGGATGGATGCTTTGGCATCTTTATAGTAGTAAAACCGTAAGATAGCAGCATAAATGGAGATATTTAAACTAGAGCCGTTCTTAACGGTTCTACACAAGTCGACTCAAGTAACTAAGACCTGACTGGAGTCTTGCTGGGTCCACATCTGTTCAGTCCGATCTTACCTGTAAGGGGCCGTCCACACCACAACTATAACAACAACGTCAGTGGTGAACAATATCAATGGGATCCCTCTCAGAGTGATTTGATGATATTGTGGTATACAACTCTTATATAATGTAAATTACATATAAAAACCGTCACTATAGCACTGATGGGCTCTCTGAAGTGCTTAAAGAGCTACTCCACTCTAAAGCTGTGAACTGTGAGCCATGAACTGAATTACATGACTGTGATAAAGCATTTTGTGGGTTAAAATTGTCTCAACATAAGAGTGTTTTGGGTGACTCTATGTTATGACATTTCTTGTTAAGACTCTCTAATCAGAGGAGGGCGGTATACCTCCCCCCGTTAACTCAGCTACAACACAGATAGCACACAGAAACTTTTACAAACAGCATGAATGTGCTTCTAGTGACTGAAAAAGCTCCAGCGGACTCACACTGTCTCTGTCACTTTTGAGGCCACGCCCCCTAACGTCACTGTCCATTGCAGGTCTCTGATGCATTTTTAACATTTGCTGAGAAGGAGGGAGCAGAACTGAAGGGTGTAGTTATACTTTAATTGTTGTGTTGTCTTCTTGTGTTGCATTTTCCTGACTCTTTTCGAACCCATATCCTTCTGGTTTTATTGTTGTTTCTCTGCAGAGAACATACAGCAGTAACAGCTCATCAATAACTTTATCCTTTTCCCCATTAAGCTGCCGACAGCCTATATCGTCTATAGTTTAAAAGGTGAGGGTAGTGTTTGCAGAAACTACAACTGAAGACTACACTGTTTAACCTTCAAACATAGATATGTTCTCTCCGGTATTTGATTTATTCGAGAGATTTGGGTTTTGGTGAATCTTCCTCCAAATGTTTCCTTTTCCTTGGAAGAGCAGAGTACAGAGCATGAACCTCCTCACTAGGTGTTTGCAGAACATGTTTGTGAAATAAACAAACTCCAGGCGAGGTCAGGAGGCAGTTAGATTTTTAGAAAGTGACAAAAAACAAGACTATTTGGGAAACGACCCTTGGACCTCTAAAACTGCCTCAAACGCTTTTGTACAATTTAAAAACCTCAGGATTCAGAAGGAAAAATAGACACTGATTTCTTTGCTTCTCTGGAAAGAAAAAGTGTGTGTGTGTGTTTCTTTTGTCTCTCAGTAGAAAAGCGAGGTGAGTTTCAGTATTAAAGCTGACAGAAACGGGTCGGATAGCTTTAAACCACCGTGACTAACTCCAGTGTTTGACCCTGCAGGTGTGCCGACGATCTGACAGGAGCTGATAGGTTGATGCAATATGGTAATTGGTTCACCTGAGGTGTGAAAGGCTCACGGCCAAAATCACCATGCTGAACACACCTGAACACACACATACACACACACACAAACACACACACACACACACACACACTCGTACCTGTCCAGCGATGTCAGGTTTCCTCAGCTCAGGCCCCCGGCAGCTGTGTGGGGCAGAGAATGGTAATACAGCTTATAAGTAGAAACAGTGGCTTTGGGAAGGCCTGCAGCAGTGGTGTTCAATCACTGGGACTGGGCCTAAAGGCGGACCACTGTGGGAGGGTTACCTGGATAGAGATAGTTTTTATTAACTCTATAATGTCCTAGTTGTCATTACTTTTTCCTGCCAGTAATTCAGTTTCCCCCTCACTTTTATATTGGCATATAAAGATGGACGTTGCATCTCCACTTCCTCCCACTGTACAAAAATGCAGCTGCACGAGTCCAGCTGCCTTGCAAGGTTAAATTTCTCTCGCTCTGCCAGCTCATATTTTCCAAGCCAGTCTGAAAGTCAATCAGATTCCCGAGAAGACAAAACTGACCGTGATCAACGGGTGAATCAGAGTGTGACCAATTTCTTTACCATCGTTCTATAAGTTCACCTTTCCAGACAGCATGAAACACAACCCCAACAAACATCATCATCAACAGTACCAGCAGTTATATAATGCTAATGTTGCTGTCACCTCCTCTGCAGTTTGATGTAGCTGTGTACTTCTGCAGCGTAAACAGTCCAAACTTCTTCCTAAATTCAATTTAGAGCAGTTCAGGTCTCAGATAAAGGCTGAGTCACGTCACCGGTGTCCGATTGCAGTCTGGAGTTGCTAAGTTCTTTAGAGGATAAAGCTCCTAATCCTCACAGATGTTTACATAGCATTTAGCTAGCCTTTCTGATGGACAGGAGAGCCTCTGCTGTGTGTGTGTGTGTGTGTGTGTGTGTGTGTGTGTGTGTGTGTGTGTGTGTGTATTATATAAGGTAGTGTGTAGAGGATAATTTCAGGACATTACTGTGCTGACAGAATCAATGTCAGCTAATGCCTTCACTGTTTGTTGTTATTTGTCGTGTGCTCTTCAGCTTTGCTCTTCGGGTTTCACGTATCAATATTTCCATGTGTGTAAAGATCTAAGGGATACATACCATTTAGTGGAGGCTTTTATCCATAGAGCTGTACTGTGCATTAAGTGCAGAGCCTCTCCTGGGCGTACTTAACCTTCAATGTCTCTAATAATGGACACACACAATATGGTTTGACAGAAACTGATTTTGTTGGCTGGTTCTGTTAGAAATAGGTTTTTGTTAAGCTGTAGACTGAAATGTCATTCAAATACTCTTCTTCATTGGGCCTGGCATTACTGGTTTATGTTTAAGTAAGGTTTTCTTTTGCCCTCACCATTGTGTGATATATCTATTCCATGTATGTACATTTCAGTCAACACAAAGCACGGTTGGTTGTGGTTGTAAGGAGCAGTTTTGATCCTGTATAATATATAGATTTAAGAGTGGCTGCCCTGTTGGTCAACTCACAACAACCTGTAGAGTTGCGTCTATCTCATCCACAACAGAGAAATTTGGTGTTCTTTGAGACATCTGTGGAGCCCTCATTCCTTCAAGAAAGTACCTCACTTGTGCCGAAATGCCACCAGGCCATAGATTTTAGATGTAGCATATGCAATGATGTGAGATCGTTTCAGAAGTGGACCTTTCAGGGCGTCTTAGTTTTGTCCTTAAAAACTATACAAAACGGTGTGTTTCTTCGCTTCCGTGTCAAATCCCCTCTTACGGATTGATGTATGTCTCCTTAGGGTATTTTATTTTGGAAACTGACCGGATCCTCTATGCTGTTTCTGTTCTGACTTCCTGCCAGTGTGATCTGCTCTGTGCTGCTTGATGCGAGTGGGGTTGCAGCATCCGTCAAAAATAGACCAGCTGGTATTCTCTGTGGAGCTGAGTGAAGAGACGGTTCTGGGATGTGATCATCTCTGCCAACCACATGGTGGATTTTGACCGTTACAGTATAGTATTTCCAAGAATATGTACAAAGTTGATCTCATAAGAATCCCAGACCTTACCCAGGAGTCAATTTACAAGATGGTTTGCAGCATCAGTTGAGGCACCCTTTATTTTCACAGCATTCCCAACTAGACACCCCAAAGGACACCGTTATGAGCCTCCTCCGAGTCCACAAATAGACTCAACAAGAAACCTCCCAGGACCCCTCCAGCATCCTTGCAAGAATAGAAACCTAGTACACTCTTCTAAGACCAGGACAGAATTTAGATCCATCCACCTGGCTCTTCCCAAACTTCATGTGACTTTGGATAGACTACAGGCCTGTTTCAACGAATGTGCAAAGCTTTGATTTAAAACAGTTATTCCTTCCCTCAGGATGCATTAATTAAAACAAAAGCTCTTTTCATGACTCATGGAGAGAGAAACAATAATGTGTGATCTGCATTTAATCAATGCTCCATGGCAACCCAAAAATACCCAGAACCTTCAGCATCTCAGAGTGAATCCCTTCGACCTTTGGCCTCTGGTCAGTGTGGAGCTTTCTAAACTACCTAGTCGACTTCCTCGGGATCCTCCATCTCTACCTTCGCCACTGAAGGTACATCAGTCGTGTTCAGTAGTCCTGCTAACTTTTCTTTCTTCCGCTGCACAGAAATGCAAGACCCTGCATCCCCAGTTCACAGTCTCTTTTCAGGTCCAGCAGAAAGTCCTTCTCTATATCCTCCTTGAACTCCTCCCACATGCGAATTCCCTTCACAGAAGCTGCCGTCCTTCTGAACTCCTGATACTTGTTTTCTGATACAGCAGTTTTGCTCCTTCCACTTCCACAGCTCCTCTCACCACTGGTGGTTATCAGCTGGTTCTTAGAAAACAGAAGATCTCTGGTGCCTCTTGTGGCAGCAACCTAAACAGCTACTGTTGAAATGGAGGCTTTCAGCATGACTCGCTCACACTCCTGACTCCGGTTCCTCTGGAGGACTTGAGGACCTTGCAGACTTTTTTATGAACGACTTGAAACTTTTGATAAGAGGTATCGACTCCCTCCCATTTTCCTCGCAGTCTTGTTAGTGTGTGAATGAAAAATGAGCCTTAAAGTCTGCTGTAATGGAGTTTCTTTGTAGAGAAAGAGACAGAGAGAGGACAGTGGAGGAGAAACTCAACAAAGGATTGTGTGTGTGACTCTTGATAAAGGTGCTCCCTGTGTGATCTGGCACACTGCACAGTGTGAGGTTGTTGCTGGGTGTCCCCTTCCCCCCCCCACCAACACACACACACACACACATACACAGTCCTCTGCTGTAACTCTTATCTAATTTGGTCAGCACTGTGCTGTCCTTGCTCAGGGGCACTAGAGCAGTGCTGGGGAGTGCAAAAACTTGGGGACTTACATTGCGTTTTGGGACTTTTTGGGTACCTGTGTGAGGAACTTCCCACCTTTAAGCGTCAGTAACAAACAGTTATTAATGTAGGTGAGTGGCCTTGAATATTATAACTTTAGGACAGAATAAGAGCTAAAATATCGACTGAAATAAGCAATTAATGGTCATAAAATCCACCTGAACTGTCTGTGTCCAGCTGCTCTGACCAGCCTAAGCCTGTGTGTGTGTGTGTGTGTGTGTGTGTGTGCGTGCGTGTGTGTGCGCGTGTGTGTCCTGGTGCTTACTCATTACATCTGCCTGGTTGTGACAAAAATAATCACGTGTCAGAGTCCGTGTCATCCTCTCTCTGCTGATGTTACTGTTATTAGTGAGTGCTGATGTCGACATCCCCTGTTTGTTAGCCAGCAGCACACACACACACACACACACACACACACACACACACACACACACACACACACCCACGCACACACGGACACACACTTGCTGGTCAGAGTAGTTTTTCATCCCTCAGTCAGTGAATCAGACTTTGCCTCTGCAGAAACACTCACACAGTCCTCAGTGTCTGAACTTGAAACTCACCAGTCTGGATTTCAGACACACATCGCACACTGTTGCTAGGGGTTGTTACAGAGACCCCCAAGGATCCAGGTCTGGGGTCCACGTTTCTTACTCAAGCACTGCTATAGATCAAGTCCATCTTAAATTAGCTGCTGCTGGTTTATGTTTCAAGCATATTTGGTCTAAGTGTCCAAGTATCACTATCGCACTGAATTGAAAATACGTTTATGCTCAACGTTGCTGCAGCTTTTTCTCTGCTATCCAGTACCTGCAGACAAGAGCTGTCGACAACAAACATGGAAGAAAACTTATTTCTGTTAGCATTACTCACACAAGTTTGCTTGTTCGGGTAAATATTCACTCTTTAATCTCCCTTACTACGGTGGTATGAGCCCAAAATAAACAGGTTCTGCTGTGATATTATTTCAATAAACAGATCAAAAGCATGCTGAAATAACTACATCATGATGCTGATTCCTAAAGTGTCTGCAAGACGACGAGTGAAACACTTTTAAAATACTTGTTTTTCTGAATGGAGTTTGGTTGATTGGGGCTATGTTAACTTCGTTCATAGTGAAGTGAAACTGAGAGCTGGAATCAAGTAACCGACGTGTTTTTCAGCGCTTTTATTTGTTCGCCAGTCTTCGTGTCTTTGTCTCTTTTACTTGTGTTTGCTGGGAACGAATTATTAGAAGGACATTTGTCTGAGTTTTAGATTTACTATTAGTGTGTTTTTGAATACTAGCTATTTTCTATTATTATGTTTATGTAGCTGGATAGGTTAATGACATTTATCTTAGGGAAAAAAACATCTCTATGTGATCGGGTTCAGAGCTGCAGAAGGAAAAAACTTCCAGTTTAAACACAGCCTCAGTTAGCCAATCAGAACGCAGCAAAGTACCATAAATTCACAACTTACAAAAAACAAACATATGAAAATCAAATAATAAGATCTGTAAATGACCAAACGATTGTTGTTGTTATTATTTTGCGTGCCTCAGCGTTGAGAAGAATAATCCTGAACATCGGTGAGCTTCAGTGTGGTGATGTAAGGATCTGTGATGTTTCCCTCAGCGGGCGGTTTGAGGCCAGAGGCTGCTGCTGATATGTGACAGCTGAACTGTGTTTAACTTCATTAACGTCACTCCGCCTGACGTCAACACACTGTTACACTACACACTGATCGGTAACACAACACCACCACACTGCACCACATTTAACTACAGCAGCACTCTGACGGACACCCAGTGTACCCGGGGGCAGGAGTGGAACCAGCAACCTCTCTGGTAACTAGCTGTGACGTTAAAGCTCACTTCTTCTTCTTTCATGAGTTTAAAATCTCTCACAGGCTGATTTATTTCACATTTTCCTCTTCAGCTCAGAGTTTTTTCTCAACCTTTTTGTCCTGAGAGAGCCTCCTTCACCGATACGTCGCTCACTTACATGTGTGAGAGCGGGAAAGAGAGGCTCTCCTGATGCCAGTAATAATAACAGCGTGATTGTTGAGTAGCTAATCAACGCACTACAGAGTTAATGAGCCTGTATGAGAGTCATCTCTGTGTGTGTGTGTGTGTGTGTGTGTGTGTGTGTGTGTGTGTGTGTGTGTGTGTGTGTTGTGTGTGTGTGTGTTTGAGATGGGAAAGGTAACCCCAGAAAGAGCCTGATTTTGTGCATCACACACACATAAAAAGAGTCAGACACACTCAATTCAAACCCCAGAACCCACTTTTCTGGGTGACTTGCGCACACACACACACACACACACACACACACACACACACACACACTGACACTCGTGTGTCACGTAGCCGGTGTCACATCGAGGATCCCCTCTGTCTGGAACAACAAACAGGGCGATGGGCTGCTGCTGCTGCTGCAAGGGCACATGTACATAAACACACACACACATGCACTTCCAACAAACACACCCTTTAAATGCAGCAAACACACACACAGACACACACACACGTGATGTAAAGCAGAGCGAGGCAAGCCCCGGACAAGCTGAGGTCTGCAGAGAGAGAGAGAGAGAGAGAGAGAGAGAGAGAGAGAGAGAGAGGCTTAAAAGATCAAACCACCGGAGCAAACAGCTGAGGAAAGTGCTGTTCAAATTAATCAGTTTCCTTAAAAAATCACCAAATCAGAGTTATAGTGTGTCTGCTGGTAGAGCCCGATTGTGAGCTGAAAATGTTCAGTAGGGGTCCACGGCATGTAGAAACTGCCAGATGCTAACTTGCGTATCTTGGGCAATTAGCACTGATTAGCATAATCACCTATACAGAGAATATTTCAGCAACTGTCCAGTTCTGACATTTTCAAAGTACAAAATGGTCGTTTAAAGCAGAAGTGGGACGACTTTGATTCATTTCGAGTTGATTTTTAGTTTTTTTTAATATGCTAAATATGTAATACACAAACCAACAGAACTGAAGACATGTAAAGAATCATTACGTCTGAACATTCGGACCAATGGAAATGAGCTGAAAGAAGATCTGTGTTTACCTGAAGGTATATCTGTGGAGGAGAAGATCTTCATTACAGCCGCTGTGATTCCTCTTCAGCTCGTAGCTTTCTTATTTATGTAACATCAAACTGCTTTTATTCATTTCCATCATAACCAAATACAACATTCCCACAGCGACATGAAAATGTACACAACATTGTTCTTAAAGGAAGAACTGGAGCAAACGCACATCAAATCTAATACAGATATGTGGACACTCTTCCTTTTTACTGGATGACAGTTTGACTTGCAGTGCGTTCACGTTTTAGTCAGAAATGTCAGCATGTTAACGGATCGTCCTCGCCAAGAACAGTGAGTCCGATAACGATGTGAGCCTCCGCGCTGATAACGTGTAAACAGAAAGGAGCATCGCTTCTTCCTGCCCTCTTTCAGCTCTGTCGGCCTCAAAAAACCCACTCTTTTCTCCTGTGACGATGACCTGATGAGAGCAGATAGAGTTCGCTTTGACATATTGACGCCTGAGACCTGCAGCAACATCCCCTCACAGACCTGCTCAGGCCGGATAGAAGCCGGACCCGGCCTGACTCCCGGCTCAGGTCTTGTTGTTTACGAGGAACCGAGTGCAGACGTGACGTTAATGAAAACTGTTTCATCGGTTGTCAGCGCGGTTACTGCGGTAATAACATGATTCTCCTTGAAATCACTTCAACTCATGTTAACACACACACACACACACACACACACACACACACACACACTCTAATGATGGCTCAGGCTAACAGGGTATGCTAATGTGAGCATAGCAGGTCAGTGTGCTGGAACGTCCCTTTTGTTTTCCAGCAGCTGAACTCCTGTTGGCTTTTAAAGAACTTGTGTACTTCAGCTGGAGTTATAGGAGGTGACACGTCTGTGTGAGTGTGTGTGTGTGTGTGTGTGTGTGTGTGCGCGTGTGTGTGGGTGTGAGAACATAACCCAGTCTGAAATGTCCTACCCTTTGGCTAACTCTGCCCTTCATTTAGCTCTTGTATCTGTGTGTGTGTGTGTGTGTGTGTGTCCTTACCTGAGTGTGTCAACTTTTTTAGCTTTGTGTTGTGTGTGTGTGTGTGTGTGTGTCCAAGTATCTTTAGTACAGAGATGATCTCATTTTCTTCATCACTGTGTTTATTCTGAATATTACGATGTAAAGAGCAACATTAGGATATGCTGATATCGTTCAGGTTTCAGCAGCATTATTTGGACGCTCTACGTTCAGGAACATTTGATTGACGCTCTGGATGATGTTTTGTATCCTCAGTATGATTTAAATGAGCTGCTCAGAGCCTGCAGGTGTGTGTGTCGGCAGGTAAAGCAACAGTGAAGCACACGTTGTGTTGTGACGGACTATAAAAGCAGTCTATGAGCTTTAACATTCAGGTCCGGCAGGTGTTAATAGATTCTGGTATTTATAATGAGGTAGAAGGAGGAGAAGATCATTTCATCAGCTTTGAACCTGTGTGTGTGTGTGTGTGTCGTTGTGCTGACTCTGTGCATCTGTGTGTCGGTCAGGTGTTCTCTGGGATCTTCACAGCGGAGATGGTGTTGAAGATCATCGCTCTGGACCCGTACTACTACTTCCAGACGGGCTGGAACATCTTCGACAGCATCATCGTCTGCCTCAGCCTCATGGAGCTCGGCCTGTCCGACGTCGAGGGGCTCAGTGTCCTACGCTCCTTCAGACTGGTAACACACACACACACACACACACACACACACCTGAAACACATGAAACCTTTTTATACAGAGATTTTCGTCTTTGTTAGTCCTTCAGAATGACGTTTCCTTAAAGGTCCAGTGTGTAACCTTTAGGATTTATTGTCTGAAGTGGAATATTCATCGGTTCGTTTTAGTGAGGATAAGATTTGTTGTGTTTTCTGTACCTTGAGCCGTTTTTAGCCTTTTTCAGGGTTGGAGGCGGCGCTCCATTTACTCCTATGAAAGCTGCTCAGTGGCCCGTGAAGCCAAATAAAGCTACTTACCCAGATGAAATGAGTCACTCCACAGGGGGTTGTACCACAGTAGCCCACGGACACATCAAACATTGGCTCTAGATAGGGAGCTCTTCTTTTCTTGGAAGGCTGAGCTGTATTCAGTTGGTTGCACTCTGCTAGACGCCATTAAATCCTACACACTGCTCCTTTAAATCAAGTTTCAAATAAGTCTGCTCATCTTTACAAACCCTCTTCAGTGGAAAGCTGTCTTCCACAACAATATGTGTTAGAGAGACATTTTAAATAATGTATAAAGTTGCAAAAGGGGATTTAAAAGTTGCCAAATCTAGTGAGCAAGTCTAGTTGTCTGTCACTGATTATTTCAACTTATTCTCAACATACATCAACTTTTTGAGATATTTTTAGACATTTAGGGTCATTATCTTGAATTTTTGACCAAACAGGTAAGAAAAAGGTAAATTAATGTCACAGCTTTGGTACGTGTTGGCTGGTATGAGCTGGTTGACTGACAGCTGAAGCACCAATGAAATGGCAGCATTCTGCGGGAGGAGATGATTGGCCGTTGAAGAGAGAGGTTCAGGTGCAAGACGAGGACGGTGGTCATCAGCGTCGACCCCAGACACACACGCACACACACACACACACACACACAGAAACAGAAAACACACAGGGAGAAAACACACACGGGGATCCTTGAAGCTTTTCTTTGTCTGTCTGCGTCGATCTCTCCTAGTGTCACTCTGGGTATTGTCGGCTTCTGCTGGAGGCAAACACATGAACAAACACACACACACACACACACACACACACACACACACACACACACACACACACACACACACGTGTTTGTGACTTTCTTTTCTTTCTGTTTTTCCTTTTGTTCTTTCTGGATCGAGTCACCTTGAAAAGACAAATGTGACCTCGACTTGAGTGAATGAAAGTACCTTTTATTCTGAAAATCCGTCTCTTTCCTGTGTTCTTTCGCTCCAGCTTCGCGTGTTCAAGCTCGCTCGTTCGTGGCCGACCCTCAACACCCTCATCAAGATCATCGGTAACTCCATGGGTGCTCTGGGCAACCTGACGCTCGTCCTCGCCATCATCGTCTTCATCTTCGCCGTGGTCGGCATGCAGCTGTTTGGTAAAAACTACCAGGTAACGCCTCTGACCTCTGACCTCTCACCAAGATATACAGACTTGATGTCACTCCTAGGTTCGGTACAATCGATGTGTCTGCTCCCTCCTTCCTCCAGGACTGTGTGTGCAAGATCTCGAAGGACTGCGCTCTTCCTCGCTGGCACATGAAGGACTTCTTCCACTCCTTCCTCATCGTCTTCAGGGTGCTGTGTGGCGAGTGGATTGAGACCATGTGGGACTGCATGGAGGTCGCAGGTCAGCCGCTCTGCATCCTCGTCTTCATGCTGGTCATGGTCATCGGAAACCTGGTGGTGAGTGCCCTAGCTGTTGTGAGCTCGCTGTAGCTAACCGTCTGCACTTTGACCTTTGCTCCGAGCAGAGCCTGATCTGCACTGTAACCCCTCCCGTGTGTGTTCTGCTGTTCTAACGGATAAACGACTCAGTTTCAGTTTATTCGGGCCGCCTCGCCCTTAACAGTCGACTTAACTGTTAGTTGCTGAGACGAGTTGATGCACTTTAAATTAGTGTGATACTCGCAGAACAACAAAAACCAACATAAAAAACTCTAAGACTCTGGAGCCGTTTTCTCTTGTAACACAGGGTGCTGCCACTAGCTAGTTACTGGCCCTAGTAGCTGTCTGTACCCGGACTGGAAGCTCGAAGGACAGGGGGAGGCCAATAAAAATGTTAATGTTGATAAACCAGATTTTATATATGTAATGGTTAACTGCTGTGAACTGTCACCTTCAGTAAAACCTCTGGAAAAGAGCGAGAATGAATGAATAATATCACGTTTCTTATTAAACTGTGCAACAAATACACAAAAAGTGCAGCTTATCAAACAGATGTAGTTCAATGCAACTTCAGTGCCTTCTTAGAGCTTTCCTTCTTTGGCTCCATCCACTCCTGATCGCTTGGTTTTCATTGTGATGTTGACTAACAGATTAAAATCTCCTCGGACACAGAATGAAGTTGTAATAGCTGCGCTGTCTGAGGTTAAATGCTGTTCATGGCCACTGAGAAGCAGGTGGTGACCGACCTTTGACCCCTGACACCTCACCTGTGACCCTCTGTGCTTTATTGCTGCCGTTCTGGAAGCTTCCAGTGTTCAACTTGTCTGACAGACGGAGGTGAAAAACCTGCGAGGACGAGAGAGCGAGAGTGAGATGGGTAGAAACAAAGAGAAAGAGAGAGAGAGGATCTTTTTACATGTGACCCCGTGTTTCAACTCTGTCCAAAGAATTGCTGATTTATGTGAGATGCACTGAGAGCTACAGACAGAGTAAATGTTGATCTACTGACCTCTCCTCTCTCCTCCTCTCTGTCCTCCTCCTCCTCTCTCCCTGTTTAACCTCCTCACATTTACATCTGGCTCTCCGTGTGCTGGCGCTCAGTCCACCAGCTCTCTACCTCTTTGTCTTTTTCCTTTCAGCTCTCTCTCTCCTGTCGGTCGTTGTGCACTTCAGTGAAGTTGTGCCTACACAGTATACGTGTGTGTGTGTGTGCGTGTGTGTGTGTGTGTGTGTGTGTGTGTGTTAGCTTCCCTTTTTGCTACCTCAACACAAAAGGAAAGAGAGAGCAACATATTTAAACGTATGATATGTATTTTCTCTCACATCCAAACTGAAGTTTAATAAGTGTGATGAGGTGGTGAAGCAGCGTGGGATCATGGGAGTTGAAGACAACATGGGAGTTGTTGTCTTCACCACCATTGGCGTCATTGCAGTCAGCTTCTCCCGGTTAGGATTCCTTCAGTGTTCATGGTTCAGGAGGTTTCTACCGGGAGCCCAATGATCCACAGAGGTCTCCTCCTCTCCAACACAAACAGACCCGCTGATTAAAACCACTAAACACACTGAAAAAAGCAGTTCCACCTTAACATTCACTGCTTCTCCCACGCTGTTGGACAGACAAAGGACATGAGCCGAGCTGCTGCTAACGTTAGCTCAGCTTGTTTCTCTGATAACTTAAGATCCAGACGTCCGATGACTAAAATCCTTCATCCGGTTCAAATCTAGAGTTAAAAAGCACCAAGATCTAAACAGTGGATGGTAACAATGTGGCTTCCAACTGGATCAACAGTCAATGTGTGACAGCTTCTGGCAGACAACCACAACGCCCCCAGATTGATACACATCAGGCTGCAGTGTGGTCTGAGATTGAATGAATCCATAACTGTCCATACTGCAGATTAACAGTGACGAGTTTGAAAGCTATGAATAAAATAGTCTGATACAGTCGGACTAACGCTCCCTCGCTCGCTCTCATGTAAACCGACCGGCTGCGTGGTGTTTTCTTCATGTAGAACAAGCGTAATCACCCACACACACACACACACACACACACACACACACACACACACACACACCTACACACACACACTCACCAATGCAGTGAGCACTCATCTTGCTCAGAGAAAAAGAGCAGAGGAAAGATTTCCTTTCTTCTGATAACTATCTGTCAGCTCATCTTACACTGTACACACACACACACACACACACACACACACACTGCTCTTTGTAGCTCATTTTACCCGCCTCACTATAAAATGTACCCCCTCGCCCCCCCCCCACCACCACCACGACCAGCATGAACACGTCGCATGTCTACACCTCTAAACACATCAATCAATCCATCACTGTGTGGGTGTGTGTCTGTGTGTGTGTGTGTGTGTGTGTGCAATCAGAGGGATTCAGAGCAGACAGGAGGCGGTAACTGGAGAGGAGAAAGTACCCTTATCTGATGGTCAACACACACACACACACACACACACACACACACACACACACACACACACACACACACACACACACACGGTGAGAGGAAGGAAGGAAGGGAAACTGTCTGGAGGTGTAATGGTGGGAAGTCAGCTACATTTTAAACAACAGAAGTGTAAAATTATCAACATTTGGGATCTCGACTGGACGGTCATGGATCATCTCCACTGCTCAGGTGCTCATGAGCAAGGCTATAATACCACTGAAAGACCACTGACATACTTATGGCTCTGCATTAAAGGTCGATACCATTCAGTCTTATGGAGAAATGAGTCGACTTCTCAGTTAATTAATGAGCTCAGTAAACAGCTTCCTGATGAGTTTCTGCTCTCAGTCTCTAGTTTCAGTCTTCTTCCATACAGCATGATGTTCATTTAGTAACTGATGGTCCCATTTAGAGTAAAACAGACCATAAAGCAGGGTATGCTTTAGGGCGGGGCTACCTTGTGATTGACAGCTCATTCTACAAACTTTTTACACAAATATCTGAACTTTCTACTTTCTACAGTTTTAAAACAGGCTGCTTACTTTAGATTAATACATAATACACAGAGGAGTTAATGATTGAATACAATAACATTAAAGTCATAAAAGACGAAACAGACTCAACCCTGTTGAGGTTCGCCAGTAGAAAGAAGAAACCAAGAAAATACTTTCAATTTTATACTTTGAGTATTATTTGTTAGTAGTATTTCAGGGCCTGAACTTTTTCACTTTTATTTGAGTGAAGAAGTTGAATCAGTGGTTTTACTTTTACCACCTCTGTGTATAACTAAGCTTAAATGAGCTCCGTGTGGTCGACTCTTAGAAATCCACTTATTTCTTTCCAAAAAGCAACATGTTGAATATTGGCCATTTATACCCACAGTGTCCTTCTAAAACTGAAAGGTCATTTAACTCTAATATATCTGCCTAAAAGCCCTTTCTGAGTGAATATCTGAAGGTTTGTTTGCAGTGTAGCATTCACTTTGAGCTGTGTAAGAAGGAACATGTAATATATAACATATAACATATAATATTTAACATATAATATTTAATATATAATATATAATATATGATATATATATAAAGAAGGAACAGAACTCTGTCTTTTATATTTTGTTCTTCTTCAAGTCATGTTTAGTTATTATAAATAATCAGTGTTTGTGTGTGTGTGTGTGTGTGTGTGTGTGTGTGTGTGTGTGTGTGTGTGTGTGCGTGCGCAGCAATAATAGAGTCTCATTCATCTATTTAGCTTAATGGTCTCATGGATATTTAATAACGAGCTTGATACGAGCTTGGCCAGACAGCTCGCTCTCACACACACACACACGCACACACACACACACACACACACACACACACACACACACACACACACACACACACACACACACACACACACTGGCAGTCAACAGCCTCTTATTCTTCTCTTGTCAGTGGCAGGAGTTGTATCTTCCCCTGCAGAGGGATATGCTGACCTGACTGAATGAATATGCCCAAACACACGTGTGTTTGTGTGTGTGTGTGTGTGTGTGTGTGTGTGTGTGCGTGTGTGTGTGTGTGTGTGTGTGCGTGCGTGCGTGCGTGTGTGTGCGTGTGTCATGATGACCGAACCTTTCCAATTCAGGTGATTTATCCTTTTAGAAATGGCCTCATTGTGCACAGCTCAGCTCAGCTCAGCCTGTGTGTGTGTGTGTGTGTGTGTGTGTGTGTGTGTGTGTGCAGGCATTTATGCATGCATGCATTCATACGGGTGGTGGATGGGGGGGTTGGCGGGGGTGTATGATTGTGTTTTTGTTATGAGATGTCAAGTGTCACACCTCATAAGGGACAGAGGGGAAGGGGGAAGGAAGGACAGGGAGGATACAAAGAGAAGGAAGGGCAGAAAGAAAGTGGGGAAATAAATAAAGAATGAAGGAAGGAAGTGAATAAAGGAAGAACAAGAGAAAGAAAAGGACACAAAGGAGGAAGTGAAAGTGGTGTGGAAGGATGCTTGCATAAAAGGAAGACGGGACAGGAAGGACGTTAGTGGGAGGGAAGGAGGGAAGTGCAGGTGATGAAGGAAGAATGGAAGAATATGTGGATGAAATGAAGAAAAGAAGAGAGAAAGGAAAAGGATAAGAAAGGAAAGGATCAAAGGAAGAGAAGGACCAAGATACAGGAGGATAAAATAAAGGAGGGGAGGAAAGAAAAGGGAGGAGGAAGGAAGGAGTAGAAGTTTTCGAAAACATGAGAGAGAGAGAGAATAAAGGAAGGACAGAAGGAAAAAATATTTCAGTAAAGTTTCATCAAAGCTTCGTCATGGCAACCGTCGCCAAGGGAGGATGGGAGACCTTGTTGCCGTGACAGTGAACCTCATGATGTTACACTAATACCCAGAAGGCACTGGGGCAGGGGAACGGACCGACTGTTAGTGTACCTATCACACACTCACACACACACACACACACACACACACACACACAAACACACACAAACACACACAAACACACACACACACACACGCAAATGACACGTCTTCATGTGACTGTAAATACTTGTTTCTTATTTTT